CCCCCCCCCAAGGTCGATGGTGCAAGAACCTACCCCCCTTGCTCCTTCCAATATATTTTATTACTCAACTTTTCTTAGAAAATTATAATTAGAAATATCGTAGATCATATACAATTATACTTGCTGCGGTATGTTCCACGTTTTCCTCTTGTCTTTTAGTTCGAAAATTAATAACTCCGTCGAAAATGGTTCCCCTCAAAAATTCAAAAAACCCTTAAAACATGCTCCCTTCAAAAATGTTGATGGCGCAACTTAAACCCCCTTCTGGACATCCCCTGTGCATATGTGCTATCTATAAATAGCAACTGAACCATTGCATCCCAAACTCTGTAGTACACACTATATCAATTAAAAAATGGTATCAAAATAAAATTTAATAAAAAATAAAATTTTTTTTTCTTAAAGTGCTTATGGGAATATAATCTAATCTAAAGCTTGCATACATTTTTATCAGATTTTTAATTTTGTATCCATGACCTAATACTTTGTTAGGCTCAAAACAAACATGAATGTTTGTAACGAGGTGAAGTAGTTTGTAAAGTAGATGAGGTGATGAAAACAAACATGAATGTTTGTTTTCATCACCTCATCTACTTTGTTCAATAAAACTTCCATAATCAAGGTAACTTCTCAACCTGGTAGATCATACAAACTGGATTCTGCTTCACAGAAATAAATAAATAATGTATGAAAAAATTATGAAAAGTCATTGCAGATGAATATGACTTTTTAAATTAAACTTTTTAAACAAAGATTTAAATTATTCATTGGTATAATAAATAGGCTACATATGAACTTAAGTATCATTTAAAAAAATAATATATATATAAAGATTTTGAATAATTTATATCATTGTATATTAAAAAATAATTAATGGAACCTAAATTGGAATATGTTGTCCAGGTTTGGAAATAAAACTATTTATTTAAGTAAAAACATAATTATTATATTTAAATTAAAATAAACTCCTAATACAAAAAATCCACCAATATTATTTTATCATTTGAAAAGGAATTTCATGCTCTTTTCAGTAATGCATGCTTGTTTTTGAGCAAATGGAGATAATACCATAATGACAATGCAGGGCATTGGATAGCTGAGCCTTTTGGAATGCAATGCATAAATAGATGTACAGGGAAACGTTTGAACTAATTAATATATTTTACTAATTGAACTAGGATAATGAATGAGAGAGTTGAGAAAAAATGTTACGAGAAAAGGGTGAGGATAATTTTGGTTATTTTTCTAGAGGGGAGGAGCACACAGAAACATTTTCAATAGAACCTCAGTCATCCTCAATAATTTGAAGAGACTTTAGATAAAGATATTTTTACACTTATATATATTTTAACTTTGAAATTATATTTACTTTTTATATTAAAAAATAAACTATAGGTTAGGAAAATCCTAATGCCAATACTAATGGCATCATCCAATGCTCCAAACATTTTAGGGCAAATGAATACATTTTCAAGAATTTAGTTCAATAAATTATAATATTCAATAAATTTACATAGAGAAGCCAAGATGCAAACATGTTAGTTCCAACTCTAACTTTTTCCAAAAATTTCAAATCTCTTAATTTTAAATTTGAAACTGCTTATTATAAGTAGGTAAAATTTGACATTTTTTTCTTATGTTTGTATTCGCTTCCTAAATATAAAATTTTCATTAAAAACTGTACTGGGTGCCATGACTCACTCCTGTATGATATGGAGTGGAATGACGCATGAAGTGGAATAAAGAAGTAAAGTGATAATTTAAAAAAATATTCTTTATAGTTTGTGTAGATTCATGAGTTTTTCTAAATTAGTGAATTATTGTAATATAGTAATTTCTAATATCCATATTTCTTAATTCTATTTAAATTATTTAAAGTTTTCTGTGAAGACTTTATATCTAAATTAAGAATATGGCAATTTTTATGAATTGAAACTGTAACAGAGAAGCATCGTATGCAAAAGTGGTGTAAGTAATCTTTATAATAAATAATTAATTAAGTAGTAAGTGCATTATCTGATTGGATATGCTAGAGAAAGATTATTTTTAAGACAGAAATTGAATTTGATTATTATTGATTTGTTGAACTTCTCCATAAGTGATGATTAATTCAAAACTTCAATTTTTTACTTACATCGCTTTAGCATTAAATGGCGTAGTGTACTACAGAAACATCCTTGTATTTAAGGGAATTTTCCTGATACATTTGTAAAGAGATTAATTATGACATATTGAAAATTTTTTTTAAATGATAGTTATGCAATGATCAAGGATCAAAGTGAGATTGTCATCTACCTTAGCATTAAGATTTGAAAAAAGTTCAACGTGATACCTTATTTGGACTATTTGAGAAGTAGGGTGACCCTAGCCCTTAACAGATTCAGTTGTATAGGGTCTCTATCTTTTGAGTACTAGAGGTAGTACCTTTTGGGGCCTCAGATACCTTGCAACTATGAGCATTTATAAAAGTATTATTTTTAGTTCTCCTTCCTGGAGCCAAAATCTCTCGCACAGATAAAATGGCTCTGCTACAAGTCACCAGATCGTACAGGACGGTCCATAGTACCTCCTAGAGAGAATAGAAGAAGATCCTAGGAGTTGGAAGTGGATTATCTGGGAGGATACAGTAGAAGAGTGGAACTGGGGGTGGTTGACGACTCAAAAGGGGCAACCCTGAAAGTATTTTCCCACTGTCGGATGGTGACTAGAAGCAATTTGGGTCCTCCCGGACTACTACATATCTCTCCCTTTCTGAATATCATCGTTTTAGACTTTTCCCGATTAAATTTAAATTCCATTATTCATAATAGTTTTATAAATCTATAATCATAAGTTGAAGTCTATCTGGAATAAAAGCAATGAAGGCTTAAGTTCATACCACCCTAATGCTATGACATTCTCTCTTGCTTCAATACAATCCTCTATATTATTAATTTACCCACTGAAAAGAAATAGACTAATATTAAATTTGTTATTTGTGAAATGATAAATGTGATATTTTTAAGATAAAAATGATAAACAATCAATCTTTACATTAGTTATGTAATGTGTTTTCTGTTATGCTTCTGCGAACAATGGACCCTGTACAGCCCTCAACTCAAAAGTGGTATAAGTTGCATATGTGTCATTTCTGAAATAGCTTATTCAATTGTCCCCTTATAATAATAATAATATTTTATTACGTGATATACAATTTTACTATTTACAATAATATAAATTATTCCCTTACTGTATCCCAAATAATATATCAAGGAGTTCTGTCAATCCTTATAGATAGATAGATAGATAGATAGAAAAATAATTTTATTCTGGGACACAGTCCCTTGAGAATAACAAAATAGAACAAAATTAAAAGATCACATCTGGCCAAAATAAAATCAATCGAAAAAAAGAAATAATGTAAAAAAAATATAAGGTAAACATTCTATATAAAAAAAAACGAAACTATATACAAAACAATTATTACTATGACAAGGCACTTAAAGCTATTTGCACTAGTATACACTTTTAAGAAAATAATAAAGAATTAAAAAATAAAAATGTATCAATGAATTTGTATGTATCAAATTCTCTATTAAAATCAGCTCGAATGGTTAGCAACTATCTGACTGTTCTTGGGCACTCCACTCCTTGTTCGAGATTTAGGCTCATTATTATTTTAATGATTTTGATGGATATTCATGACTGATACAATTTGTGATATTATGCTTAATAGTGAACTATACATTTGCAAATAGCGAAATATATGAAACAAAATATAACATGTGCCTTATTCTCTTTCTTCTACAAATTCAAGATAATTATAATAAGTATGCTTTTAATAGAATAATATTTCCTAAATGTTGCTTATATTCTTTAACTAGTTATTGGGTATTATTTAGTAAGTCAATAATTTAACTATTGGATTTTCAGACTTTAGACCCATATAATTCATTGAGTTATTCTTATCCTTTCTTTTATGAACAGGGGATATAATGGGTTATTAAAAGCTATTAGATATTTCTCCCATTTCAAAGACGTTATTAATAGAATTGTTTAGTTGTTTACTAAAAATTATTTTTTCTTTTATATATATATCTACATAGAGTTGTATATCTTAATTTTTAATATCTTATATCATTATTAGACTATTAATCATTTAATTTATATCTTCTAACAACGATACTGAATAATAATACTGAACAAATGAACAATCTTACACCAGAAATGAAAAAGCAACTGACAGTTGAAGATTAAATGTTAATGAAATTAATGACTGGAAAATCATTATGGTGTAAGAGTCGCGGGATTTTCAAAAATATGTATGTGATGTCAGGAAATCACTTCAGGAAACAAATGAGGCTATGTTGAAAATTTTTACACCACAAATACACAAAACACTTTTATTGCTCTACATATACATCACACTATCAGGAACAAAGGACTACTACTGGCTCTGGGTAACCTCATCCAAGCCAATCTCCCTTTGTTTACAACAGCTACAGTGCTGGCTAATAACATGCATTAACTCTACACACTCCCATCTTTACAATTTATGCTTTAAATTGTAAACTGGTTTAAAATGGATTCAGGAACAAATGAGGCTTTGTTAACTATTTGGCAGTTTTCAACTCTTCAGCACTCATTATCCTTAATTTCCCCACAAGGGATGCCACTATATGATGTCAGGAAATCACTTCAGGAAACAAATGAGGCTTTGTTGATAAACTCTAAGTCACAATACACAAAACACATTTATTCCTCTACATATACATCACACTATCAGGAACAAAGGACTACTATTTGGGTAACCTCACCCAAGCCAACCTGCCCTTATTTACAATAGCTACAGTGCTGCCTGATAACATGCATTAACTCTACACACTCCCACCTTTACAATTTATGCTTTAAATTGTAAACTGGTTTATAATAGCAAAACAAAATTTAAAATATACAATACAAAAAATTACAGGTTAAATCATTAATTTAATAACCTACTTTAACAAATGTTTTCTGCTTCCTTTTTTAGTCTTGATAAGATCACTGGCTAAAAACATTCCGAGATACACAACTCTTTTGAGATGTTTTTTTTTTTCTTCTCTTCCAGGTTTGGAAAACTTCTTTAGAGGACAATGAAGAATTATTGGTACCACCAGTTGTTACTTGTACTCCTCTCCTTGTAATTTTCTGACTAAGATCTGGTTCTGAATAGGATCTTTTGCTGACGACAGATGTTATACTATCTCTTATGATGCTCCTGGGAAGATTGTTTCGAGCTACAGGTGTGACAGATGGTTTTACTCTAGGGTATGGTACTGCCATGATCTAGACTATTCTGTACCTTTGTAAACTGTTGTAATGGGTCGAAGATTTTTCAGCTTGCCACGAATGGTGAAACTCACTTGCACTAGAGTCAAAGCGCTGAAAAGGTTTTCTCTTGTAGGCGTTCTTAGCATGGAAGAGGTCTGTGTTTTAGTTATAACATAACTGTCCAATCTAGCCTAGTTTCTGTGGCTATCAAATTTTCAGTAATTGGTTCTAATCTTCCTATCAAATTTTGTTCCATGAAATCAGGCTGCAAGAATCAACTCTACTTCTTGCTTGTCTCTCCCACCATCGCCATCGCTCCATGTTATATTATTTTTTTCTAATATCTCTAGACATTCATCATTTGATCTAGGGATATCACTGTAAATGTTTATTTTGTCCAACTTTACTCTATCAGAAAATTTATCTGTTAAATTTTCAAGTTTGACATCGTGCTCAACTTTAGTTTCAATAATTCCAAAAAGGTTATATGAAAGTATTTCTTCCTGTAATTTCTCTCTTGAAGAACTGATAGATGCTGAAATATCATCCTACCAACTTTTATTTGAATGCTCAACCAAAGCATCAAATTTACTTTTTATTTCTATCCACTTGCCGTGATAACTTATAGATGCATCGAATTCATCCTCCAGTTCTTTTTCATCAACTAGAATCAAATCACTTACCTTTTTCTCGAACTCTAATAGATATTTAGCTCTTGCTTCTAGTTATATAAATTCCTTCCTGAATTTGGGATCATTTTCACCTATTTTCTTTTTAACTGAACTGAAGTAGCTAAAGTTATTAATAAATTTCTCCACTGAGCTCTTTCTAATTTGGCAGTTTTCAACTCTTCAGCACTCATTATCCTTAATTTCCAACACAAAAGAGATTACACTATTTAATATTAGGAAATCACTTCAGGAAACAAATGAGACTTTGTTCACTATTTGGTAGTTTTCAACTCTTAAACACTCATTATCCTTAATTTCCCCACAAGGGATGCTACTATGTGATGTCGAGAAATCACTTCAGGAAACGAATGAGGCTATGTTGAAAACTTTTACACCACAAATACACAAAACACTTTTATTGCTCTACATATACATCACACTATCAGGAACAAAGGACTACTACTGACCCTGGGTAATTTCACCCAAGCCAATATCCCTTCGTTTACAACAGCTACAGTGCTGTTAAATAACACGCATTAACTCTACAATCTATATAGAGGAAGTAGTAACGCTCTTTTGGAAACTGCCAAAAATTAACTTGACGTACACGGCGGTGAAAAGTCGCGGGAATTTCAAAAAGTAGGGGAAAGCGGAAGAGTAGTGGGGGCAACAACTGATAAGCGGGTAATCTAACCTAACCATAAACTATCATTTATAATAAGCGTCCTTTCCCCACCCTGAAAGCCTGCGGGCAACATCGAAATCATTACCTGATATTGTTTTTATAACGGGTTTTAAGTAATAATTATTTCTATAAATAGGTGACAAAGGGACCAGACGCTGATATTGATAGCTTGAAATTTAATTTGAAAATTAAATATTAGTTTTTCAGTACTCCTAAGTGTAAACACATTTTGAATATAGCTTTAATTAACTATATAATTTAATAATACAATTAATATAACTGTAATGGTAAATTTAAAACGAAAAATTTATAAAGAAATCAGCGAGAGATAACTTTTTTTCATTTACTTGTTTTATTTTACATTAAAATTATTTATATTATTATAATTTATCCAAGCTATTAACTGTTTTTAATCTAGTGTATGCTGTAGGTATTTATTTATTTATTTATTTTATTTGTATAATGAATTAGATATCCTATGGAAATATTACAAAAAATATTTATGCACCTGTGTTTAAAATTAATTTATCTGATTGCAGCTTCCTTTCAAGGCGGACGTCCAAATCAACTTGAATTTCCTTTTTTTGGGCATAGGCTAGTCGAAGACGAAAGGTATGGCATTTATTTATTTTTTATTATAAACATGTTGAACAAATAACAAGCAAAGTTTGGCGTCATCTTAGTATCCTTAGATAAACTGCTGGTATTGTTCCACATTCTAGAGAGCTGAAATAGATATTCAGCTGGTCTATATATTCCATTATTATTATTATTTTTTTAAATCAATGATATTATTATTGCGTATTTATTTTTCTTTTCTTTCATTTAAATTATTTATATTTTCTGTAAATAAGATATGAATGTATTCCTTTCTCATTTGAACTATTGGCCTTTATTATTATAGAATATTTTACTACTCAATAAAATATTTTAAAAAAAAAACGATTAACTTGAGTTGGGTACCAAAATATCTCATGGGGTCTTTACTAATGATATCATTATATTTCTACTAATTAATTATTACTAATATTTATTATTACTTAATAGAGTTATTCATTACTTTACTCAAAAAATGTTAATCATTTCTTACTATAAACATATTTATTTATTCCAAACCATAATATTTAAATTATAAATAAATTCATATTCGTTTCTGGAGACAATGATTAGGTCAATAGCTTATTATTATTAGTCAGTAACTTGCTCCAAATAAGGCGTTGATTACCTGGAAGTTTTACGCCTTAAAACCCCAACAAAAAAACTTGCTCCAAAAACATCGTGAAGAAAAAATTACATTACTATTTTATAGAGTTATTTCATTACTTTACACAAAAAAATGTTAGTCACGGTTAGTTAAATTTTTGGAGGTTGAACTGTTCACATACACGCATACTTGGATATTTGAAGGAAAAAGGGACCATAAAATGTATGAATCCTTTGAAAACTCTATGATGGACCTTTTGAATCCTTGATTATAAATTTTTCGAATTCGGGACCCATCTCGAGCTTTCGCGATTAATTTAGCGAAAATGAGTACATTATTCTAAGGAACTGATACTTGTGGGTTTTAAGATGTTTTGGGAAATAAAATTAAAATTGTTAACCAAGTGTGATAAGATATTGAACTAAGTAGTGGAGGAGTGGATAGAGGGGGCTACTGAAGTATCGAGTACAACAGTATATTTAAATACTTGTAAATATTTAAATATAATATACTTAGAACAAATAAGGATAGCCATTTTTTGACCAAGCATTGAATTGTAGTTTATCCTTTCTACTTAGTAATATAAATCATAAACGTCATTTAAGATTTTATTTATTATTTATTATTGTTTATCATAACAGATTTGACCATTTCAGGGGAATCCAAGGATAAAAGTAACTCAAGGATAAATGACTCTGATTCTATATTTGACAATTTTATACATTTATTATATAATTTTGAGGAATAAAAAGAATAACAAAATTATAGAATGTAACTGGTTATTTATTTTTATTTTTTTTTTTGTTACATTGCTTCCCCCATCTCAATTGGAAGGAATGAGAGTCAACATGAAATTATTTATTTTTACAAAAAATTAATTTCTTCATTTAAGTTGAATAAATTATTCTGATATCATTTAATGGATATTTATTATTGCATTGTTTTTTCACTATCGCTGCAGGGTGTCTAACGAAGCAGCATGCCCCTGATTTTTCCAGGTCATCTTTGAAAAAAATTTCAGATGATCGAAATAACATTTTTATTATAAAACTGATATTTATTAATTTTAAGTATTGTAAAAAAAAAATTGACATTTAAAATACTTTAATCTGGAATAATGGAGGCAATATAAGAAAATTATAATGTTTACGAAACATGTATGTAAGAAATCTAACAAAAATTAAACAGCTATACAAATAATCTTTCAAAGAAAACATACATACATACATACATACAACCGTTTTCTTAATAAATAATTTTAGATATTTTATACATTGATTTTATATTCTGTTCCACCGTTTGTTTTAAATGTCTTTAGTCTGTAAAATTTCCTCACTTTTCGTGTTTTTCATAGTATTCTCTATCTATATCCCGATTTTTTCAGATTTAAAAGTTTTCCTGACTTATCCATGCATTCCAGATTCGGTAGACGGTCTCTCGCTATTATATTTTTAACATATATATTTAATTTTTATTAATTAATAATAAGAGCTAACTGTTGAAGACATGGAATTTTGGGATGACAACTTCAAATACTTTAATAGTAAAATGTTATATTGAAACATTTCAGGTATTTGTTGGACTTGAGAGGGAGAATGAGAAGTATACCTGGCGATCCAATTAACGGCAATGGTTAGTCAAAATATCATATGATGATAATGATTTTTTTTTGTTACAATATATCAAACTAGATATTTTTTTTTTTTAATTTTTAGACACTCGTTATTTGGTACACATGTGTATCAATGAAAACAACCGAGAGGAACCTTATCTGTACCAACTTATAGGATGGGTGCCACGTAATTCTCAAAAAATGCGTGGACTCGTCTATTCAACAGGTTAGTTAAAGGATACGCTTATTTGTTCCAAATTATATTTACGATAAAATAAAGGGTGAACCGAAGGTAGAGGTAAATATTTATAGGGATAAAGCAGACGTCATGAGCTAGAGATTTTCATCGGAAAATTAGGAAGTTTAAGCTTTAGGTTTTTTTTTTCAAATAAATCATGCTTTTTGTTGAATAGGCTTTTTGATAACTGAAAAAATATTTAACTAAAGTCATTAAAAATTGTATCGCAGTAAACTAGGCTAAATTTATTTCAAATATAAATAGAGATTCCCGTTGTTAAAATCAATTAAATGGGACTTTTGAGCGGATAAATTATGTCTTTTGTAAAATCATTGATTGTTTGCCATTTTTTTAATTTATTTTTTTATGACCCTCCGACTTGAATACAGTAATCCAAATTTTAGGAAAAATTCCTCGTTTAATAAGATTTAAGTTCATATTAATTATGTTGAGGTTTGTTATGGAATAACAAGAGATTCGCCTAACAAGAGATTAATCTGGAAACAAATGTTATGTTATTTGATATTTTGTGTTTTCAGCATAAATAAGTGTAATAAATTATTACAAGGCCTCGATTTTTTTTTTTTTTTTACTAGGGACCTGGGGTATAAAAAATCAACATTGACAGTGAACTAGTTAACACAGATCTATTTTATGGAAATTGATCCTTATAGAATTGATCAATACCAATTAAAGGTAATAGCTTGACACTGTAAATTAACAATTCTAAAAAAAAAAAATTGAAAAAATAAACACACCAATTGTTTGAATTATTTTCATGAACACATAAATATTAGAATTAGGAGCATTTAGTTGGTTACTTATTACAATTAGGATCTATTCTGATGACAGAAATTGTATTTTTGTGATCTATTTACTACAATACATCCTAAGTGATAGGAAAAAAAAATTAAAGCGTTTTCAGTAAATTATAGAGGTCATTTTTGCTAAAAACACAAGTACATTACGGAGACAGAATATCAAATTACATATTTTTTTTTTTACGTAACTCTCAACTTTATCCACAACAAATCTCAAATTGATTAATATGAAAATAAAGCTTATTAAACAAGGACGTTTTTCTAACGGAAGTATAGTCGAATGTGATTGTGATGATAAAAAAAAAAAAAAAAGGGAATAATGTTGTGAATAATAAAACTTAGCGTAGTTTAACCGCTAAAAAGTCTCCTTTAAATGGTTTTAACAAAGAGAAACCCTAATTATATTTAAAGTAATTGTTTTCCAGTATACTATGAGGCAATTGTTAATTTCCTCCTATGGCGGTCTCTATGGCTAAGGGCCTAATTTGGCGTTCGATGCGACTCAAAAGAAGACATTCATAGTGGTTTCTATGAGATCAGATTTGAAACCAACGATCAGCACCAGGACTCCAAGGTATAGGCAGAGAAAGAGGAAATTCATAGGAAATGCATACCTTACCTGAAGGAAAAGTACAGATATGAATTCGGCAAGAGAGAATTCTCAGTTAAAAGGAAAAAGTTCGGAAGAAGGGGAATCATCCCTCTTAAACGGGTGGATTTACCGGGGGGAGGGAGGAGGCTTTCGGGCTGAAGCCCCACCCCCAAAATGGGAAAATATAACCATGTTTTATCTAAAAAAATTATCTCTCAAAGTATTATTGTTCGTGTAATTACATTTAAAAGGGCTTTAGGAATCACTTAAACACCATTTCATACAGGTAGTTAGTTTCTTTCTTTTTTTCCAAAGTAATTATTGTTATTTTTATGAAAAAAAAAGCTTTCGGGCTGAAACGCTCCCCCCCCCCAAAATTAAATCCTGGATCCGCTAGTGCTCTTAATAGAAGTAATTTATGACAGAGAGGCTCGGTGTTGGAAGGGAGCAACTTCCGACCATGACAGAAACTATTATTTTAGACTCGTTTGAAATCCTCCATCAGCACATATATTGATCTAAAGCTTCCGCTTATTTGATCCTATAAACCGTTCTTGGCATATCTGATACGTATTCCAATGGTCCGACCTAACTCTCTCTTATATTTTTTTACAGTATTATCTAATGATTTATGAGTATGCAGTCTTATTTAGTGACTCAACACAGTTGAGAAGTCGTGCAATGTTGAATTTCTCTCTGCTTTCTGTTCAATAAAAACGTGACATCAAAAAAAAAATAAAAAAATGCATAACTTAAATTTCCTGTTTTTCTGCAGAAAACTGAGCCATTCTTTGTATACAATTTTCAGTAGCTTTTGAGGTCGACTATCACCCATTACAATGTTTTCCTTTACTTGCGGGACACCCAGCTATCAGCCAAATATATAACAATTGACCATTGGCCATATTTTTTAGATGGGGGAAGCAGTTCCTGGAATTTGGTAGACGTACCAGGGCTCATCATTCTTCACGTACCGGTGTACAAGCCAGTGAGACCAGTTCGCCTTACAGGAGAAGGTAACATTCACATAAGTAATTATTTTCCACTATTATAAATGTCCTTAATTGTGACAGATTGTAATACCCCTCAATAAACATGTTAAAAAAAAATTACAATTAATGAAAAAAAAATCAATCCATAATTAATAACTTTTTTTTTTAGGACTCCCTAATTATATGACAATAGGGGACATCCGGGCTCAAATGGGACCAAGGTATTGATTTAAACTTTTATTAATTTACACTTCTCATTTATTTTTCTTTCCTTCCTATTATCACATCCTCATACTTTATTAAAATATTGGCTGTTTGTTACCCTGCTAATCTTTCACACTTCAATATTTTCTGAATAATTCGTTATTCTATTCATGTTTGAATAAGTTAGTTATGATACCAGCCATGATGTAAATACTAAATTATTTAATTTTTTCCCCCACTTTGCCGACGGTTGAGCGGGGTAAACTGTGTTATAATCATATTTTTAATAGGTTATTGTCAACTTTCCATGAAATTCAGTTTATTACTTCAAGATTTTTAAAAATGAAGTATTGTAAGGCATCTGACAAGTTGAAATATGCATGCGAAGTTGTTGAGATAGATCGGTCACCGTAGATAAATAGTTAGACCGGGGGAGGAGGGAGGGGGGGCAATTGCCCCAGGGAGCCTTTTAAACTACCAATAAAGCAACTTTATCAGCTAAATTTAGAATATAATAAAATTCAAATATTACATAATACATAACAGGTTAAGAAATATATTTATTTTTTTTTAGTGGGGGAGTTGACGTCGTTGCCCGGGGGCGCCGTTTGTCTAAGGCCGGTGTTCTCTCCATTTGCTTTCAGACTTCCAATCATATAAATTCTAACATTAATTAACAATTGTTTAACTTTGTAAACGGAAAATGTCTGTTTTTGATACATCAAAATTTAGGACGTCCCTTGGCCATCTTCTTTCAAGATGCTTCGGAGGAAGAGGGCGGGATTATTTTGGATAAAAGGTTATAAACTAGAGAGTTAGGAATAAAAAAGGCATATCTTATTCGGACCAAATATGAAACAAATGGAATATTGAGGTCTTTATGGATAATTGTATTTGTGACATGGTAACGGAGAATTTTGGATTGTAAGGATTGGATACGGTAAAAACTATTGGAGCCCCAAACTTCGATTTCCAAACGGGCCTGGTAATGGTTGTGTGTATGAGCTTCTCTTACAATATTGGAAGTTTAGAACGTATGTCAAGTAAGTTTTGTAGAAATCGGAATCTGCTAATCTTGTATGAGGGTTCCAAGTAAAACATTTGTCAAGATTTAGTCAAGATTTAATTCGTTTTAAACATTTTCAGGAACCGAAGAAACTAGCTCCGAGGTTCGACATGGGTCAGCGGAGAAGCAGTCATAACTTTTCTTTTAAAAAAGGCTTGGTTACACAACCTTTCATTCCCTCCATGTTTTAACTAATACCTTTTCTACCTTTAAATATTTTTTTGTTTTGTTTTTTATTTTAAAATATATTCATGAATTATATGTATCCCTCTCCCAATTACTAACACAAAACTGTATTCCTCATTTTATTCAACAATTATATTTGATTATTAAACACAACTAATTTTGTTTTAATTTCTTCCTAATCCTAACAATACATTATTATATTATTGTTATATTATATTGTTATATTATATTATTATGTACCTTTCGGCAATGATGGCATCATAGGAAAAAAAAAGATTAAATCCTATAAATGAGACTGGAGATATCTTTGAAGTGGAGTGGGGGAGTCAATCCCCAAAATGGCGATGACCCACATAGCCCTCCTCCCCCCTCTCCAGAAATTAGATTACTTTCTTCTTCGTAAAAACGTCGTTAGGGAAAGGATATAAAAAAAAAAAAGTTCCATTTTTCAGAGGCACATATCATGTTTCTTAAGAATTCCATCGTCTTATACATGTTTTCTTCTAACATGGTCTGGAAGTCCCCCCACCCAATTGAAACTTCACAAAAATATGTTTCTCCCCCAAAATTTCATAAATTAAAACTGTCCCTCTTCAAATACTTAGAATACAACTGCGCCACGTCACTTTTATATGGGTAGCCCTTAGGAGTGCATTCAAGCGATTTTGTCATATCCTTAAATTTTCTAAACGTTGACTGTTTATTTATTCAGTTGTATTTGAGAGATCAATGGTTTCCTTTTTGGATTCTTCCATTAATGTTCCAGCAATCATTTTGTCAGTTTTTTTTTTTTTGTATGTGTTTTGGCTAATAGTAATTACATACAAGTTTTATTCAAAAAAGATTATATCTGTCCAATGACTTTTTTATTTTATTCATTATATGACATGAAAACAGTTGTTGAGAAACTACCCATTTGTAGCACTCTAAACATATGTCTACATTAGCAAATTACGGGGCCATCTTCTTTTCATAATTCACTTAGGACAATGGATTTCGAATCTCAGACAAATTTTTACTTTTTTCGGTGATTACATCAACAAAGTAATCCTCAAGGAAATTAACTGTTTTTCACATGCCTCAAGACTGCTACTATTTGAATAATGAGTCTTCCAGATACATTCGACTACGCATTTACCCATTGAGGCAGTGGAAAATGAACTACTAAATTGAATTATTAGTTTCATAAACATAGAAAGAAGAAACTGTACCATTACAACGCATGAAGGGTCTTGTGTGCAGTACTATGTGAGGAAGTACTGTTTCAAGGCTTATGGTTGTGCAGGGAGGTGATGGGGCCGATATCACGCTCAACCTCCAGGTTTTCTTCCTTAATTATTTTTTTAAATTAAGAGTATCCACTTTATAGAGGCAGGGTGTGCTCCAGAAGGGTCCCCCGATCCCAGGGTCGATCCACGGCTAATGAAAAATTACTAGGCATTAGCCGGATTCGAACCTAGGGACCTTGAGCTCTGGAAGTCAGTGCTCACCCACTGAGCTATCCCGCCCCCTCATAAACATAGATGTGGTCTTAGGTGTAAAATTCAAAACATAATTGTAAATATGTATATATTTGTGTGTGTAACATTGTTTTGAACGTGACTCTATTACATATAAAACAAAAAAACCTACATGTTATTAACATTAAATTTTAACAATATTAAATATATCTTGAAATAAGAAAAATAACTGGTTAAGTTAATTAAATTACACGCTCTTTCAACATAGTAAGATATAAATACTTTGAAGGTAACCATAAAAAAAACTATTATTAAGAGTTAAAACACTGTGAAGGTTGCAAAAGGGTAGGTTTCACAATACAGGAAACTTGTACATCCACTTCTGAAGACCTTTCATAAGGAGAAAGAGGCAGCAACTTACTGGAATGAAATAAGTAGGAAATCTTTTTCTTTCCAATTGTCTCTTTTATATTCAATAGTGCTCGGTTTAATTTTTCGTTTAATCGGTTTGATTTTGTGGGATAAATGCATGTAAAAAACAATCCCGTATCCCATCCTTCTCTAAATAATTCTGAAAAAAAGGGCGAATTTGTGCCTATACGTTGGTCAATAGGTTTGAGATATTAATCTTCTTAGCAATTGCTTGAAGTACATCTAAACATTCATGCTCGGTCTGAACTAGTGTTGCCTAAAATCGGTCTTGGACCACGACCAACACTGTTTAAAAAAAATCGATTTTTTGAATAACAATTAATGCAAAATAGTAACTAATACTTGGCAATCATAGTTACTATATGTAAAGAATTGGTATAACCAATATACTTTTGCATTTACTTCTAATTTTTCATTAGGGCTTACTTAGGTTTCTCCTATCTTGAAAAATACTGTAATATCTCTATAGTAATAAGCTAATAGGCAACTGCAAGATTCTTGCGCAAGACCAAGGCCAAGAGGAAGACGGTGTGCGCAAGACCAAGAGGAAGATGTTGTGCGCAAGACCAAGACTCGTCTTGGTCTCGCATTTAGGCAACACCAGTCTGAACCTTGTTAGTACAATCATATCTGGTGAAATGATCTACCAAAATCTTCATATATCTTTTATGTGACCTAAAGAAAAAAAACACAACTTTCACTTACCACTCTACTTTGAATAGAATTTATTTTCTGGCAATGTTGGGCTATAATAAAATTATTATAAAATTGCATTTTGAACGGAGCCAAGCTTAAAGCTTACCGATAAAAAATCATTAAGACCATTAAAATGACAAAAAGTCTATTTATTACATCGACGGTAGGCAATAAAAATCTAGTTACTTCATCTGCTTTTATATACCACAAAACTTCAGTCTCTGAGCCTTTCAGCTGACAGAATGACCAACTTAAATTTCAACATTTTTGAGTAATGTCATTTTAGTGAAAAGTTGTATTTATACAGACAGTGAGTAAGTTGATTCCAGAGCAAGTGATTGCAGTGTTGAAATATAGTACTGCGAATAAAGGTATAAATTTTGCCGCTAGAAACATCACTAAAATTAATAATAAAAAATGATGAAATTGGGGTTAATCATCTGCCAACCGAAAGGCTCATATAGATGCCTAGAGATATTTGAAAGTATATCTGAATATTTAACCGATAAATGATTACCGATTGTAGGACTATTAGTTATTAAACTGTTATTTTCCGTTGTAAAGTTTACTAAAATAAAATTACGAGATTTTCATAGTCTGTCATGGATAGGCCAAACGTTGTCACACTAATTGTAAATGGATAAATTTGAGACTTCACAAAGGGAAAATTCATTAAATTATTCACTAATTTAAGTTTATAAAAGGTTACTTGATGATTTTTTGTAATAAACGGCCAATAGATACCTAATTATTTAAATATAATATCATATCTAGAGTTATTAAACTATAGTAAATTTATTTAAGGATATAAACATATCCCTGAAATATTTTTATATTTTACCTCTTCTTTCACAGAAGCAAGGGTGCCCACAGGGGGGCTTTATGGCGCAAGTTGCGCCATCAGAATTTCTTTTTTTGGGGGGGTCACATTAAACATTCATTTTAAAGAGAACGTTTAAACCAGGAAATAAAGAAAAAAGGCACTCTGAGGTTTGCTATATACACGCAAAAAAATATCTAAGGGCGCCGCATACTTGGAAGAGCGGCAGATATGATTTAATCCTAAATACTCAACACAAGCGGAGCATTCATTGTCTTCCGTATTTCCAGTTTCAGCATTAACTCAAAGTGCGCCACTTGTTTGAAATGCGGTACCTTCATTGTGTGTATATGTATATGTGTGTATGTGTATACAACTAATGCCTTGTCTTTGGCTATAGAACACGGAAACAAATTTAAAATAAAGTAGCAATAAATAAAAACCTTATGTCATATTATCATGAGTGACAGGTCATTTCAACATTCTAAAAGAAACTTATTAGGAAATGAGGACTAATTTATCCATCCTCAAATTTATCCCCCCCCCATTTTAAAATGATATACCCCATTTTAAAATGATATACCCCATTTTTACAACGCTCTCGCAATTATTTTAGATGAAATTCTTATTTAAAAGGAAAAAATATTTTAAAACAAATTAATAATGAAGTACTGGCAGATAATGGGCATAGGCAGAGAAGGGTAGGGGGGAGCCGTTGCCCCCTCTAAAAATATTAAATTTTCACGATCGCAATACTTTCCCTTACTATAGATTACATATATAGGTAAGTGAAAGTAAAATACCATCTGCAGATAATTTTTATAACAATCATTTCATAAATTATTTTTAACTTAACCCCATCAACAGTTCGTTGTTTAATTAATGTAACCTTAGAGGTATTATCATAGATAGCCTTTGCTATTATTACATCATCTATAATTATTCAGAGAAGCGTTTATAGCCCTTGAAGCAGCTGCAAGACGACTTGGTCTAGAAGTCAACGAGAGGAAAACTAAGTATATGAAAGTTGGTGGTGAGGTGCATCCGAACTCTCCATTTGAGGTAGGTTCTTTTAAATTTGAGAGAGTAAAAAGTTTTATATACCTTAGGTCTGAAATTAATAGCAAAAATGACATGGCTCAAGAAACACAGAGAAGGATCACTGCTGCCAATAGATGTGTCTTTGGACTCGGCCGACACTTAAGAAGTAGGTATCTCTCAAAGAAGACCAAGCTGATCATATACAAGACCCTTGTACGGCCTGTTTTGACATATGACTCAGAGGCTTGGATGATGACGAAAAGCTGAGTTGATGAGATAAAGCTGAGTGTGTTCGAGCGAGGAGTCCTCAGAAGGATTTATGGTCCAGTAAAGGAGGGTGATGTCTGGAGGAAAAGCAAAAATAGGGAGCTCAGTTCTCTTTATACATACATCGACGTAGTTACCTATATAAAACTTGCCAGACTAAGATGGGCAGGGCATGCCGCCAGAATGAGTGCCTTTGAAATACCAAAGAAAGTAATGATGGAGGAGATGCACCTCACAAGACGGGTAGGAAGGCCGAGGACGAGATGGTTGGACTGCGTGGCCTATGATGCGAGTACCCTGCTTGGGGTACGGAACTGGAGAGCTGCAGCAGAAGAAAGAGCCAACTGGCGGAAGCTCTTGGAGGAGGTCCAGTCGCCGGTTGGACGGGATGTCGCGCCACATATGAATGATGAAATTACGTTTAACTTTATCGACGGATCAAATTTCGTCCAGTTACTCGATTTCAATTTTTGATTAGATATGATATGATAGATATGATTAGATTCTTAGTATCTTTTCGTTCGTCATTTTCTGATCCTTCAGTCCAATTAGATATCAGTTTCCTGAAACTTTATTCCGACTACAGCATCTCGTTACTGGATGATAACGATTCGGAAAACTAAGTGTTGCACAAATTGAACATACTTTTCATCGAGGTTCTTTTTCTATTGGAGCTCGTACCACATATAAGAATTTTCGTTCAACTTAGGACTTTTATCTACGAAATGCGTCTTTACTTTTCGGAATTCTGTACAAAAGTTTTTGAGCGTAGTTATGTATTCTTTATCCATTCTTGAGTTTTATTTCGCAAACCAAAAAACTATCTAGTTGATACGGGATATTGATTATCAATTAGTTCCACTTCAAGTAGAGTATTTCCTTTGCAAATACCTGATCAATTAAATTATTTGTAATTAAAACTATCCTTAACAAAGCACCGCTTTTATCAACAAACGCGTTCATGTAGTCTCCCAAAGTTTCCCAATGAACATTCATATCAATCTACTTCAGGTTTATTTTATACCACTCATTT